TATTTTTATGTTGAAATATATTAAAATAATTTTTAATAAAAAAATATTTTAATATATTTCAACATAAAAAATACCACAACTACATAAAAAATACCATAACTACACTAAAAATTTTATTTTTAAAAAATTATTTTTAAAATCAACGTATCAAAATGATTCAAAACATATAAAAAATTTAATTTTTTAAAAATTTAATTTATACCATATTTCTAAATATTTTATTAAAAAAACAATGATTAAGAAGACTTGTGACTACATATGTCTCTTATCTCCAAAAATATGTTTGTTAATGGGATGAGAGTATTTTTTTAAAAATATTTTTTATTTAAAAATATATTAAAATAATTATTTTAAAATTAAATTTTATTTTTATTTTTTTATTAGTATATCAAAATTATTAAAAATATTTAAAAAATTTAATTTTTTAAAATAAAATACAATAATTAAAAGCTATCGCATTCCTATGGTTACTTAGTATATTTTTGTCTACAAGCTCGTAAATGAACGAGTTCTTACTTGTTTTATTCATGTAAATAAATTTAAAATAAAAATAATTTTAATTTTTTTTGAACAATTTTTAGGGTGTGTTTGTTTCTTGAAAAATGATTTTTAAAAAATTATTTTTTAAACTTTCTTGTATTTATTTGTTATTGAAGAGTTAATAAATGAAAAATATTTTTCGTTAAATGAAAAATATTTTTTTATTAAAGAAAAATTTGTCTTGATTTTCAGTAAAATGTTTTTCTTTTATTTTGGGAGAAAAACATTTTTCACGAGTTATGAAAAATTTAGAAATATCATATTATTTGTTGATTATGTCAAATTTAATGTTCAAACTTTTGATTGCTATATATTTTGTTTGAATATTTTTTTTCAATTTTATTCCTTCAAATTTAATTTTTATATTAGCTTTAATTTTTATTTTTATGATTGTTTTTTACTTTTCTCTTATCATTTTTTTTATTGAAATTTTTTATTTATTAAATTTAATTCTCATTCTTCTAGTCGTTACTTATTTTATTTAAAATAATTTATGAAATTGTTATTATTATTATTTTAATTTTATTAATTTTTAATTTTTTTAACTTTTATATTTGATTTATATTATTTTAATTAATTATTATTTTATTTTAATATATTTAAAAAAAATATTAATAAATTATTTTTTAACTTATTGTTATAATATAATCCATTACTTAAAAATATTTTCAACTTATTTTTTATGATACTATTAAATATTATAAAATAATTTATTTTTTAAAAATTATATTTTTTAAAAAATATTTTTCTGCTAACAAAAAGGGAGTTAGAGTCCCACGGTACGTTGGATTAAGGTGAAACTTCCAAAAGACATTTAGACTTCTAACCCCTTTTCGTGCATGTCACGACAGTAAAATTAGATTTTGAAAGTTTCACCCCAATCCCATTTATAACTGTGAAGACGTCGTCCTTGATTTATTGAAATTTAAAAAATAAAAATAAAAATAAAACAAGCTAGTGTCCATGGCATTATTATCACTAGGAATTGTGTCGACCACATCAATATTTTTTCTTTTTTATCTTGATTTTTTTTTTAATTTATCATTCAAGACTTAATTAGTTTAGGTTAACACTAATAGTTTAAGAAATGATTTCTTACGGAGTCTAAAAAAGATTTTAAGATCAAATTTGATTTGATTTGAAAACCAAATTCAATTTCATCAATTAAATATAATTAAAATCATGATGACTAACATTGAAATTTTTAATATTTTTGGTACCTAAACCATGTTTTTCATTTTTTTTTCAATTTTAAACCTTTTTTTTTATATTTTGGTACAATATTTTATTTTTTTCATATTCTAATCCCTAATCTTAAGAAAAGAAAGAAAGAGCTGCGGAAAAATAACTAAAAAACAAAAGATGGTTGATCGGTGAAAAATATACAAACTTGGTGTTGAAGTGCTCTTTCTATGTATAGAAAAATCATCAATGTATTTTAAGCTTTCATATAGCTCAAGAAAATAGATCGGGGTAGATGAATAAAGTTTTTTATTAGTTTGATTTTGTATTTTTAGGTTGTTGTTGGGGTTGATAATTCTTTTTTTTTGGTGGATTTCTATAAATGATAATTATTTTTTTAGTTATGCATTTAAATTTATTTTTTTTAATAATAAACTAAATTTATTTTTTTAAAAAAATCAGATAATATTTATAATTTGTGCAACTTTCAAGATGTTTTTTCTCATTTTATTTATTCAATCAATTTAATTTATGTTTCTATTTTTATTATCATTGACTTAAATAAAAAAATTATTTTAATAAAAAAATTTAGTAAACACAATTGGATAAATATCTCATCTTTTAAAATTAAATATCTTGATTTACATATGTTTTTTAATTTTTTAAGTTTTATTTTTAGATATCATTAATGATTTATTTATTTATTCACATATGGTTTTTTATTTACTTGATTATATGTATGCATATAAAATTTTATTTAAATTTATATTTTTTAAACTATAAAAATATGTTGAAAAAACCTGCATATTTTTTTTTTATAAAAATAAAAAAATTCAACCCGTAACCAAATGTGCGTTCCATAATAACCTGCAATTAGTGATTTCCTGGACCACTACAATTTATTATGTCATAAAAAATATATTAGACATAGCAATCGAACATAATGAGAATTTATCCAAGTCAAGAAATTACAAATTAAGGCAATGTTTAGTTTTATGGCGACACCATATTTAAAAAATATATAAATTTTGTATTTTTGAATTGTTTAATTTTAAAAATAATTTTTTTATAATTTTTTAAATAAAAATACTTTAAAAACCAATTATTATCAAAATACCAAACATTACCTAATTTCACATAAAAAACTCTTTATTTTTTTAAAAAACTCTTTAATTTTAATTTGATGTTGTACTGGGTTTTACAAGGATCGATAAAACTACAAGGCCTAAGAGAATTTGGGTCGTGTGGCCACATAGAGGTTAGCGATGTCGTCACGGCACTATAATGACCCCGAGGCCGTGGGATACAGGTAAAGGCACTTCACTTCACTTGAATATCTTGTCCACGACATCAATATAAAAAATAATTGCCAAGTCTTTGTTCTCATTAAACACTCGAATGTTTTTGTCATTCGATGACCATAAGCTATAAATATTCTGTTTATTTTTATATTTTAAAAGTATTTTAAAAAAATTTTAAAACCTGAAAACTTCCTTTTGAGACTTTGTAATCGTGGATAGATAAATTATACTACTGAAATGCCAAAAATATTCATGTTACTGGGGGTGGACAAAAAATGAATTTGTGGATTGACGACCAATCAAAACATAGTGTAAAGTTTGATTTGGATTTGATAATATTTATAATGTATTTGTTATGTTCAAGTAAGTATTCAGAAAAAAAAATAAAATCCACATCAGTTCCGATTGATATTAAAGCTGGCAGGCTTGGCCCGTGCTACTAGTCTCGTAATCCATTTCCTAACTCTGTGAGGGGCTGGCTTCATTGCCAACAGATTAATCTGCGCCCAGTACTTATACAGTTTTTTTTATTATAATGGTGAGGTGAGTAAACAATTTCAATCCCAAAGTTTTATAGATTTTTCGTTTTTGTCCTAAGAATTTTAAGATTTTTCAAATATGCACTTAAATTTAAGCCTTGTTTTGTAGAAAAAAATATGCATTTTAATTTGCCCTCCAAAGAATTTATCTAAAATTTATTAATATTACCTTTTATTCTATTTTCAAACATATCCAAAACTGACACCTTAAATCCTAATTCTGCCCCTGTCCATATACCAAGACTTGACAATAATAGCTTGTTGGAAAATTGTTGGGCCATAATCTGGAATCAAAACACAAATAAAACAGATTAGATTTTTTATTTATTAATCTAGATCATAAATAAAAACAAACTATATATATAGTTTCCTTCCAACATGAGGTTTGCCTTGCTGATGAAAAAGTGTGGAGTTGTGATTGCATGCAGGGAATGAAAGGAACAGGTGGAGTTCATTGTGCACAAGGGCAGAGGCAATCCACAGGTTTGGGTGGTTCCAGTACAAGTTAAGATTTTATTAATATTTTTTTATTAGTTTTATATAAAAAAATTTATAATTCTCAATTAAATTATTAAAAAAATTTAAAAATTTATGTGGAGTCTTATAATATGATGATTTACCTTGGTTTAAAATTTCAAATTTTTTAAAGAAATTCAGAAATTTAATAAAAAATTATAATTTAGCCAGTTTTACGTTATTAAATATAAGTTTCAATCTGACTATCAGATTGAACTGAAATTTTATGAAAAATTTTAAAATATATTGAATAAAATCTAGTTAAAATTTTAAAATAAACAGAGTTTGGTTATTTCCCATTAAAAATAAAACAAATCAATTTTTTTTTATATGTTGCCGACTGGAAAAAAACAAAATAAAAAAAGAAAGAAAAGAAAAGGTGAGAGAGAAAGAGAGAAAAGTAAGAGAAAAACATAAAAACAAATCCACGAAAAAAAAAAAAAAAGTGAAAGAATAACTTTGTAAATTTACAAAACCAAACTTATAAAATACTAACTTAAGAAAGAATCAAGTGAGGAAAGGAGGAATTAAGAGAAGAAAAAATTTTATTTTTTTTTAAAATTGACATGAAATTGTTATTTTATTCTAGTTGAGGGGTTGTTATAACATCAATTTAGATTCGATTATAAATGAATTATATTCCATAAAACATCTATAGATATAACTTCAATAAGCTTATTTTTACATTTACTTCAATTTTGTATATTTTAATATTTTAAATAATATATTTGAATTAAAATTATACTGTTAACTTTAAAAATTCATATACATAAATTAATAATTTATCTTAAAAAAATTTATATATTTATTTAA